CCCCCCAACAACCCTGGGAGGTAGGTTAGGCTGAGTGAGTGCGTGACTGGCCTGAGGTTCCCCGCCAAGCTTCAGGGCAGAGTAGGGATTTGAACCTCGGTCCCCAAGATCCTAGTCCAACACTTTAGCCGCTACACCATTTTATTTATAGTCTACCTTCCTTCCTGAGACTTAAGGCAGATTACATAACTTTTAAAAAATGCAGTAAAAACAGTATTATACACACATACGGCAATGCAATAGAGCTGGAATACATTAGATAATGCAACAATAACAGTATATTATAATAAAAGTGCATTACAAAATTAGAAAGCAATGCAATAAAAACTCTTAATACACACAATAAACAATGCAGTGAAAACTGCTTATGAAGTTGTAAAGAGGAGAAAGATGTTGATCACTGTATAGTTTTTGGTCCTTAACCAATAAGTAATTGCACCTAGTCCCCAGACAGCTGGATTAGGATGAATCTTGAATTGTATTCCTTAGTTGGACTGACCACCGTTTCTGCACTGCCTTAAACACAGAAAAAGGTGGGATACAAATCCCTCAATAAAGGGACTTCTTGGATTGCAGCACAGACACTGTTGCTACCCTAGCTGGTGATCAGGCAATTGGTTATTTACAAATTGGATTGGCAGGTGTGTCTTCCAGGCAGGCCGTAACCTTTGCATGTATTACAGAAATTAATCTTCCTTCTGGAGGATCCCTCCCCGCAGTGGCTTGGGGCTTCTGTTCTGGCTGACCATATATGCCATAGTCTGTGAACTGGTTGAGAGTTACTTGCAAAAATAAATGTGTTCTGATGGGGTCTAGGGGTCTAGAGTCACAGTGCCCTGCCTAGTGTCTTTTATAGACCCCGGCACCACACCTGCATTTTCTCCATGCCTACATGGTGTCTGATTCAGTGTTGTCTCCAGATGAGCTGCAGCTGGATAATTATGGCTTTGAGTGGCTGATAATTGGCAGGCTCTGATTCTTTAATGCAAAGTGCCTTTACTGAAAGATAAATGCTTTTACTTATAAAGAAAGCAGGGAACGAAGGATATATTGGTGGGTTAATGTCCTGTCTTAGCCCAGTATTGTAGGTCTTGGCTAGCAGCAGGGTTTGAGCCCAGCTCTCTAATTTCTGTATGGAAATCTTTTTTCAGCCACGGTTGCTGAGAAAAATGGGGAATATTGGCCTTTGGTTTGGCAAAGCAGTGGCCTTTCCTGTCAGAAATGAGGAGAGAGAGAAGGGAAGATGCTGTTAGTGTGGGTTGTCAAGGTACATTGAGGGTTTATCTTAGCTGCAGAAGTAAACTAGTTTAATAGTAATTTTTTCTCCTCAGGGAACTCAGTAAATCAGTCAGGGAAGATACCTGTAGGATTTCTATAGAGGACTGTCAGCACCCTTACCGAAGGACAGTTCCCAGAATTCTTTTATCCGTGTCAGATAAATCTAGGGTAAAACCAATATTTGTACTGGAGATATGCCTTTAGAATTGGCATTTGCTGAGGGAATTGTGGGTATGATCACTATAGTGAATGGTTATATGCCATCATTGGCGAGAGCTGGTATTCCCCTTTTGTGGTGGATACCCGGGGCCCAGTTCATAGGTTACCTCTATGGTGTGGTTGACACTGCAAAACCACTCTCACATGGTCTGAGTCCTCTTGCAGTATGAATCGTATGCAAGTGCTGTGTTTAATTCTTCATTCATTCATTCATTTACATTATTTGTAGTCAACCTTTCTCACTGAGACTCAAGGCAGATTACACAGGTCACACAGGAGACTCAGAGTGGATGTCATGGGTCACACAGCTCATGATGCTTCCCACAGATGCACGGCCCATCCTTTGGAGTAGCCATGGGAAGTAACCATCTAGCCTCATCTTGTTCTTGCATGTGCTGTTGCTGTAACGTGGAGTTTGCAAGGCCGCATAGTAGTGGTTTTGTGGCAGCAGCCGCATCACAAAAATTTCACAACCTAAAATCAGCTCTTGGCTGTTCAGTCAAGTGAAATATCCACCATCCCAAGAGACACAGTAAAACACATGCACTGCATTGCAACTTGCCACCTCTAAAGGTCAGGAGTCAGACCCCCTTTCCTTATTTTCTATTTATTAAAACATTTATATCCTGGCTTTCCTTGTGGTTCAAGGACTTCATCTTGAACCTGACCACTTTCGTGTGGCAACAGTAAGAACATCCGCACACATTTTGCACACTTCTTTTCTGCTTGGAAAAATTAGGAGCATTGATTTGGGTATCAAAGGATGTGTGGGTTGCCTACTATAGACTGGTGGGAGAGAAGTAGGGTTAAAGTATTCTTGGCAAACACACATGTGATGGAACAATGGGTCATTGGGCCAACTAGGATCTGTATTGAATGCTAAAGTTCCACCCACCACAGGAAGTTCATATGGGTGTTATGTCTCATTAAACAGTAGCATAGGCTACCAGTAAACATGTATTTACACAATAAGGACTAGAAATGAGTGGATGCAGTATATCTCTGGATAACAAGTACTAGGGACAAACAGCTGAAGAGAAAAGCAGGGTATAAATAAAAATATTTACACCCAATTTTTTGCTCCCCAATGGGGAGCCAAAGCAGCCTGCCATATCATTCTCTCCCCCCCCCTTCAACTTATCCTCAGAACAGCAACACTGTGAGGTAGGTTAGGCTGGGAGAATGTGACAAACCCAGTGAGCTTCCATGGCAGAGTAAGGTTTCAAACCCAGTTCTGTCACATCCCAGAATGGCACTGTTGCCAGTATGCCATGCTGGCTTTCTTAATGACAAACACCGATTGCCTTCATATTCTTCATGTGTGCGCCACAGAAGCATGCCGCTGTTCCGTTGGAAGCAGATGGACCCTCAGCCTTATCTGGCAAGGTTGTTTATGTTCTTATAAGCCTCTGAGAAGCCTTCTTGCCATTTGCAAAGAGTGATTGCTGCCATGCAGATGCTTAGACACCCCACCCCTTCACAATGTTTTTTTATGACAAAGCATTTGACAAAGGACTCCCTGCAGGGCTAAATGATGTGCTGTTGTGTTTTGCTCCTGCCATCTTTAAATAACAACATGCCCATCTGTTTCTATCCCTTGATCTTTGCTCCATTTACCTTGATTGATCTGCCCCAACATCTCTCTTCCTCTCTTGCATATCTATCTTCTCAGGACAAGTAATGTTACTGTTCCTGTTTCTTGATTCTTCCAAGTTGTTGGCATCTGTACGAAAACAGAGGCTTCCCTTTGGTACTTCTAATTCACTCTGCAAGCAGCAGTACATGGCAGCCATTCCTGTGGAGCACCACGGGGTTCTCAATGCAAGATGATTGTTATTATTTTTAAAATATATCTACACGCTACAGTTTTCTTGGAATCCCCTAAGAAAAAACTCTGATGGCCTTTTAAAAGGGCAGGTTTGTATCCTGCCATCATCTTATGTATATATTTCTCTCTTTGGGTGAATATAGTGGTAATATTTTAGAGGAATGAAGGAATTTGGGTAGCACTGTTGCTGCCACCCAAATGCACATTTATAAGGGAGGGCATGTCTTGGGACGAGCACTGGGAAAAAAAATTCTACATGATTCAGTCTGAACTTCAGAAAAGCCATCAATCATTTAGTGTATGTATCTGTAGTGCCATTAGTGAAGAGTCTGCTATGGCAGCCCTTAGAATGTTATGTCTTTTGTTGCAGCCTGTATATCAGTAGAACCTGATGGTGCGCAGATCGTGTTTGGGGTAGGTGGAGACAGATGCCATGAACATTTTCCGTTCAGCTCTGCCATCCACATATGCCCAAGCTCAGTTCCGTAACATTGTTCTTCTCTTCAGACTTACTAAACTGGTGCTCAAGAAGAAACATTTCTCTTTCATTTTTAAAACCTTCTGCAGTTCAGTTCCATCCCAGAGGGACAGCCATGTGTTTTTCTTTTTATGTTCCTCTATCCCCTCTCCACCCTGGCCTGATTTTGTGTGTGCGTATGTGTTTGTGTGTGAGAGAGAGGAACTAAAAGGCTGAGAGAGCAGCTGCTGTTCTGTTCCAGACTGACCTGGGTTTCCCATCTACCCCCACCCCCAGAGGGCAAATGCTTTCCTGGTCTGTGATGCAGGAAATTTGTGTCAGTGCATTAATGTAGTACAAAAGACTAGGGGCAAATCAGCAATGAGTAGAAGTGTTGTGCTTTTTTCATGCAGTGAGTTTTTGATGGAGCCTTAGCCAAGGACAGTGCACAGAAATTGCCTCGATGTCACACATCTTGTTTTTAGGCTGCTTCTGCGACTGATGTTAAGAATACACTTTTGTCTACAGTGCACTTTTAAAGCCTCTGCATATGGAACTGGAGCCAGAAAATATTTTTTCCTATTCCCCCAAAGACAAAGATCAAATTATTAGCAGTGTAGATTTTTAGAACCTGGGAATCCCCCCCCCCCCCGCAAATCCTAACCATGGTCAAGGTAGCCTTACAGATACTTTTGCAAAAATTTCTGGTCCACAAATATGTGTATTAATCTTCATGGTTATTTGCTTTTTTTCTGTTTTGAATCGGGTTTGGGATCCCACTGGAAAGATCAAAATGAGTAAATGCAGTTGTGCCTGAAAAGAAACAGTGTTCATATAGCTTCCCTGTTTAATTACCTGATGGGGATCCTTACTTGCTGCACCAGGTGAGTTATAGGGGTCAATTGATGAGCCTGGCTTAGTGGCAGCGACCTAACTCTGAAAATAGACTTTTTGGAATGTGTGCAAAAGTCCTTGGGATTTGAGATTTAAATGATTCAGTATTCTGTTCCTGTACAGTCACAAAAAAAATCTTTTGAGGCTTGTGGAATATGTGCTGCCACCTCTCCTTGTATACAGGAAACCAGTTTGCATCTCCCATTTAGCTGGTCTGGTTCTCTTTAACATGGCTCATCCCATTAACTAACTATCAGGACAAAATGAGTTGCTGCTTAGTTTTAGCATCTTGTTAAAATTTTTGCCTTTTTTAAATCTCAAAAGGAGAAACTGGCCTTGGGAAATCAACCTTGATGGATACCCTTTTCAACACCAAGTTTGAAGGCGAGCCAGCCTCTCATTCACAGCCAGGAGTTCAGCTAAAATCCAGTACTTACGACCTTCACGAAAGCAATGTCCACTTGAAGCTGACCATTGTTAGCACCGTGGGTTTTGGGGACCAGATTAACAAAGAGGACAGGTAAGCAAGAGATGGCTGTTGGTCAGCTAAAGATCCTTGTGCTGTTGTCAGCTGGTTTCTGACAAAGCATGGACAAACAGCTAGCCACCACTTGGTTGTAGAATATTTGTGTGGCATGCTCAGGGTCTTATTTCAGTCCTTGGCATCTTCTCTGGAAGGGTTCTGGACAATACAGAGCTAGATGGCCTAACATTGTATAAGTTAGCTTCACACTTTCAGTTACTTCTGCTAGTGGTCTGCTCATGCAAGCACTCTTAGTACCAGAGCCACAAACCCATAGGACACCTTGGTTGGTCTTCTGTCAACTAGTAAATTGCATCATTTCCAGTTTGCAATCTGATCAAGCCAATAGCGTGAGGAATTCCCCCCCTTCCCAAGCCAGCTGCTGGGGTATCATCAGAAATTATCCTTGATTTCTAGGAATCAAGGTATTTGTGGTTACTTGATGGTCCTGGCTGACTGTGGGTGGGATTTTTTTCCCATTTAGCTTGTATAAAAATTGTGTAGGGGGGAGGCACTGATAACTGTTCATGGCGTAGGCAAAGGTTTTGTGTAATCCAAAGTGATCTCCTGAATTAGTCAAAGATTTCTAATTTCCCCACACCCTATAATGAGGTACAAGCAATGAATACTTTATGCTTTGTGATATGTTTTCTGTTTTATCCCCCCTCCCCTTCTTTAAAAAGTTATAAGCCTATAGTGGAGTTCATTGATGCCCAGTTTGAAGCTTATCTGCAAGAAGAACTGAAAATCAGGCGGGTTTTACACAGCTATCATGATTCCCGGATCCATGCCTGCTTGTATTTCATTGCCCCCTCTGGCCACTCTTTGAAATCTCTGGATTTGGTAACAATGAAGAAGCTGGACAGTAAGGTATGACTTGTGTCGGCATCAGCGAGGGAGTGTTAATTGTTTGGGGTCTTTTTTTCTTCTTACATGTGAAGAAATTGGCCCTCCTTTTCATTTGGCATGCCCTCCTTGTCACTTCCTGTGCCACGGGATGGGAAAGGAGAATGGTAATGCACACATTTTACATGCACAAGGTCTCAGATGTAGTGCCTGGCATCTCCTTAGAAGGACTGTGGGTGGCAGGGTTTCATCTTTAGAACTCAGGGAGCTGCTGACAGTTGAGGTAGACCGTACTGGGGTAGAAGGACCAGTGCTGTTAAGTCAGTCTAAGGTTGCTTTGTATGTTCAGTGGGAAACTTTGGACTCCAACCCTTCCTCCCCCCCCCCCCCCGTTGTTTTTTTGATATAATTCCTATTATCGCCAAATCGGATGCCATTTCCAAGAGTGAACTGACAAAATTCAAAATTAAGATCACAAGTGAACTTGTCAGCAATGGGGTGCAAATCTACCAGTTCCCTACAGATGATGAGTCCGTTGCAGAAATAAATGGGACCATGAACGTAAGCAATGAAAAAGTGTTAATTTATTCTGGGCAAATACCTTTTTTGGGAGGGGATTTTGCAAAATACGGATAGTGCTGGCCAACCTTCTAGAACTGTTGTAGGAATTACAGAAATGATGTATGTAAAGCATTTATAGTCCATAAAAAAGAGCAATAGAATTGCTGCTGTTTACTACAATAACATGCATAGTGGATGGCTTACTTTTTATTAAAATACAATTAATATGGCTCAACCAAGAGCAGTATTCTGCAGTACAGATCTTTCACTAGCCAATTTTTCTTGAGAGCCAGCAGGGGATAGTGGTTAGAATATTGCTCTCGGACTGGTTTCAGCCATTCATTCCGCTCAGGCACTCATTCTCACTTTGGACATGATATTATCTTCCAGCCTCACCTATCACACACGGTTGTTGTGAGGTAAGAAGTATTATGTACAACACAACCCTGAACTCCTTAGAGGCAGGCAAGATAAAAATGTAACAGATTTTAATGTGGGAGCTGATGGATTTTACTTTCATGTGCATTGTCTCTCTCTGCAAATGAACCAGCTCCTTAAAAACAAACAGACAAAACCAGCGCAGCAGTAAGTGAAGACTACTTCCTGGCCTCCGCTACTAGGGGCTCCAGGTGACTTTATTGCAGCATAGCATGTATACACAACCGTTATTTGCACTGGGTTAAGGGCAGCAGGATGCTCTTTCTACCCCTACTGCTTTTCCATAATGGTAGGAAGTCTGTGCCATCATCAGTAGAGACTATCTCTTATCCTTCCTGATACTCCGATTCCTCCTATTTTATCTACAGGCATTCTATTTTATCTATAGATAGCAAGGATGATTGAAATGAGAATTACAAAGGACCAAACTAGATGAGACCAGTGCTTCCTCTAAGCTGTGGTGTTTTGTGAGCAAAAATTCTACTTCGTGAGCTCCTGGCATTAAAGTTGTGAGCGAGTGATTTGGCTACTGCATAAATTAGTTTGCTCTGGACTGGAGCTATCCTTCCTAAGCTAAGACAAAAATGTGTGAGCTGGAGGCTAAAAAACTGAGCTAGCTCACACTAACTCAACTTAGAGGGAACACTGGATGAGACCTGGAAGATCTTTAATTAGGATCTCCCATGGCTGAAAAAATGTGTGTGGATCCAGACTGGAGTTATGGCCCTGGGGAAAGGGGTTTAATATTTTCTCCAGGTAGTGTTTGCCTGATGCAAATCAGTACCCACTACTGGTCTCTGTATGGAACCTACATATGTAGATTTTCTCCCAGGGATCGCATGAGTGATTAAAATCAGGAATTCCCCCTCCACCAAAAGCAGCAGCCCTTTTATGAACCCCCCTTTTCTTTATAGCCGCTTTTAGCTTTTTAAAAAAGAAAACATGGGAGAGGTACATTTAAACTCTTTTTATCAAAATGGGTCTCTGGGTCATATTTAACTTGGCCTAGAAGCATTCTGTGCACACAGACTTTGTAGCTCTGCCCGCAAGTTATGTGCTGGAAGTCTCATTGAAACTGGTTATTGAATTATATTCACTACACATCTGGAATATTGTTATAATAGTGTTCATAGCAGGTGTGTGGCGAAGCACAAAATTCAGCCTTGCAAATATTTTCTTAAGGATTTTTCCCCTCCCCCTCCCCCCTTTTCTTACAACTGCCTTTTGAAAGGAGTTATGTTCTGGCAGCCATCTTCGACTCTTACTGTGGAGTGCCTTTGAGAAACATATTTCCCATTCATTTCCTGTAGGGTGGATGCACATGTATTTATGCACCGTCTCTCACGGCTGGGGAGTCATTCTATTTCTGTGCCTGGCAGTTTTCTTTCCAACCTTTAGAAATGTGATCCCAGGCTCTTTCTCTCTCTCTCTCTTTCTCTATTGTAAAAAGATTATTTTAAATGCAAGAACAAATGGTTATCTCTAAAGCAGTTTGTTGGGGTTTTTATTTTGCAAATTAATATAAATGCATGTTAAATAGAATAAATAGAAAAGTTCACTGTTTCTTTGCTATTATAGTCTGATGTTTTTGGCCCCTTTACATCAAAACCTATAGCCAGAGATAATATGTCAAAGAATTGTTTACTACTTGCTTAGAGACTCCGGTGCAAAAAGCACTGTGCTACTCATGGCCAACAGAGCCACAACTGTCTCTGCCTCGGAGCTATTTGCAATTTTGGATGTCTCATCTATCTAAAAACGGTGTTTTTAAAAAATATTCATACATTGTCTTTTGCTTTGAGAACAAAATCTCAAATGGAATTAACAAAAAAAATCAGTAAAACATCAAAGCACAATAAAAACTAATTTGCAGAAACAGACCACGCAAACAGATTAAAAACTATAATCAGCCAGCAAAGAAATACTTACTAGAAGTCCGGATAATTCTTTGTAAGTAATCATTTATAATGATTGCAATAGGATACATGTTTTGAAAATTATAAAAAGAATTATATAAATAATCTATTATTCTGTAGATTTTTTGTCCTTTTATCCTGGTCTTCCTTCATGGAGATTAGGACAGCATACGTTGGTCTCCCTACCCATCTCAGATGGGGTGGAGTGATAGGGGACCAAGAAAAATTAGAATGGGAGCCAGGTGTAGCACATAGACTACTACCAGTTGGCCATCCTTTCTTTATGTGGTTATTGTAAAGTGCACCGGTTTCTTAGAAGAAGTATTTTAAAAATGCCAAGTATGATTATTCAAAGGGAAGCTGACTTCTTTGGTGGGGCTCTTTCTCCTCCCTCTCTTACTCACTCTATTCTAGGCTCACTTACCGTTTGCAGTGATTGGCAGCACAGAGGAAGTGAAGATAGGGAATAAAATGATGAAAGCGCGTCAGTATCCCTGGGGGACAGTGCAGGGTAAGTGTTGCTCTAGTGTGTTAATGCTGCACACTCTAGTGGGCAAGTTCAAACAAGGCACTGGGTATATGTGACATCATGCAGAGGAGCTCTTCTTGGCATGGCAGTGTCTAGGGTTGCCAGGTTCACCCCCAGCCACTGACAGTGGATGGGGAGGGGAAGGTTGCCAGAACCAGGCTGGGAAACCCCTGGAGATTTGGGGATGGAGCCTGGAGAAGACAGGGACCTCAGTTTGGGTACAGTGCCAGAGTCTGCCCTCCAAAGCATCCATGTTCTCCAGGGGAACTCAGCTCTGTTCTTTGAAGATGAGCTGTAATTCCAGGGGATCCCCAGGTCTCAACTGGAGGCTGGCATTCCTAATCAGCGTCACATTTGAATCAGGCCTTAGCCAGGCCTTGCCTGGTGCTAGGCCTGAAAATTATTTCCCAGAAGGACTCTGGCTTCCTTGGTATGTGAAAATATATCTCGTCTTAGCCTCTGCAACTACAGCCCAGAAGACCACAGGACGTGACTTCAGGCAACATTTAGGCCTAGTTCACACAGGCAAGAGATGTAGAAGGCTGAGGGAGCATAGATTGAACTGCTTCAGACTGAAGAAAGTGGAGGATTGTGCTCTGTGTAAAAACGCACTGAAAATAGCAACCTGCACATGTTGGAAAGAGAAGGGGTAGTAACTTCTCTCTGTGCTAGTTTTCAATTTACAGGGAGCATCTTATGCAAAGGGACTTTCATAACTAGAATCTATCACCTGCATTCTGAAATTATACAGTCTTTTTTTTATCAGTTCAAACCTTGCCACCTCTTTACCATCTCATTCTCCTTCATGTGTGAACCACTCCTGGGACTGAAAGTACTCAGGTATCCAAGGAAATGGGTAATGTGCACGATTAATGTCCTCCGTCAGTGAGGCCTCTGGGGTAGCCAAGCCCAGTATATATAGTGGAAGCCTCGCCCTTGCCTTTTGTCCTTGCCTGGTCAACAGAGCACAAAAAGTTAAAGCCCAGCCTTCCAGAGTTAAAATCTGCCAAATCCTGCTCAGTCCTGAGCTGTGGTAACTGGAGTTTTGAGAACAGCTACTCCAGTCCTGGGTCTGATTATGACAACCCACATTTCCAGCCTGGTCCTGAAGGCATCCCACTAAAACAGAGCTGAGGGTCACTCCTTTGGTCACGGATATATGGCAGCCATTATAAAATAAAATTTTAAAAATTGTATAAAATTTATACAAAATATTGTATAAAATATTGTATTAAAAAGCCTGCTTAGGGTTGCCAGCTGTAGTATTGGGGGGTTTAGGGGCAATTTCATCAGCATCATGTCAACATGCACCATCACTTCTGGTGCAAAACTGGAAATGCTGTTATCATGTTCCTCTATAAAGCCTTGGCTGAATCTCAAGACCACTGGCATGATGCAGTGACATCACTTCCAGTTTTGCACATGAAGCTTGCTTTAAAGCAAGTTCATCTAGGTGTATTATTCCTGTGTTATGATGCAATTTTGTTTTGCGTAACACTTGAAAAAAATAGGGGGAACATACACAACCGGTGGTGTTGAAAATGTGGGCCAGGAAGGCTTTGTCTAAGAGCCTTTTTGGAGGTTTCTGGGTTGCCAGGACCCCAGCATCCCAAACCCCAAAACTCATGAGGCAGGGCCTGGTGATATCACATTGAGCGATCATAGCACCTTCATACATGACCAGGAACTGTACTGCATGGTATCTGTGAATGTGTGTTGTCACAATCGTATGGCTTTGAAGAGATGGACAATTCACTTGCATGAGAAGGAGAGCTGCCTGCATTCAAGTAGCCCTTGATTACCTCTATGTGTTTTTTCCCATCACCCTGACTCTCTTTTCAGTGGAAAATGAAGCACACTGTGACTTTGTGAAGCTGAGAGAGATGTTGATTCGTGTCAACATGGAGGATCTCCGTGAGCAGACACACACGCGCCATTATGAGTTGTACCGGCGATGTAAACTGGAAGAAATGGGATTTAAAGACACTGATCCAGACAACAAACCATTCAGGTATTGTTCACTAGAGTATTTCTAACAAGACATAGCTGAAAGATAGGCAGGAGGAAGAGAAAGAACATTTTATTTATTTAAATATCCTGAATTTCTTCTGTCTTGGAACTCAAGCTAGAATAAATTGGACAGAATAAAAACAAAGGCCAAATTTCTGTGGTGCTAGGGGATTAGAGTTACTATTTAATGCAATTCAACATGATTGCAGCAATGTAAACGTAGATCTCTAAACTCTAGGACATAATTAGATTTTTGGTAATGTGAATAGCAGACAGAACTTGATCATACTGCCTTTCCTTCTGCTCCCATTCTAAACTCCCTTTAGCTTACAAGAAACATATGAGGCCAAAAGAAATGAGTTCCTGGGAGAGCTGCAGAAAAAGGAAGAGGAAATGAGGCAGATGTTTGTCCAGAGAGTTAAGGAGAAGGAAGCAGAGCTCAAAGAGGCTGAAAAGGAGGTGAGAACAAGTGTATCTGAATGCAAACCCTACTTTTATTGAATTGAAATATTTATATCCCACTTCTTCTGTAGCGGGAAAACTGAGACAGAGAGACCACCGGGGTGTCAGCAAGGAGAGTCAACAGTTGTTTATTAAGCGCGCGGTACAGCCAAAAGCACCTCTCAGGGCACTTTCAAAACAGGGCGTGTATCCCGAATGCAGGTTTGAGCCGACTAATATAGTTTTCCAACAGAGTACAGAAAAAAATCATTTCTTAGAATTGGCATGCAAGATTATCACAGACATTGCCCATGAAGCCTGAAGCATTGTGTTCTTTTGCAAAACCACAAACATCCTTGGCTCATCACATCTCCCTTGTGGGAAGGCCGATATTTTCCTGTTATCAGCCAGGTGTTAACTTTCTTCATGACAGAATAACAAGCAGAGTTCAGCGCAGCCTTAGTAACGGGCCTAGCGACGCCTAATATGGTCATGCAAGCTTGTGTGTTCCGCAAAGGCTCTATTTCTTGTCTCTGGTTCTCCTGTTTGCAAAAGCTATGTTCCCATAATGATTTGCAAAAGCAAATGCGTTTCCCTAATGGAATGGCCTTATAATGCAAGCAAATTGCAGGTAAATGCTTCACTTCATTTAAAACTATCAAAAGCAACATTAAAAACGAAACCCAGAAAGAAGCAGCTCAAAATAATTTACAGGCCAGCCAAAATTCCTCATCACAAACTGTGGTAAATGACAGTGTTTATCTTGGTATTTGAAGGTTCTAATAAAGATACCAGTGAATAAACCCGCAGAAGGTGTGTCACATATGGGAGGCCCACAACGGGCCCTGTCTACAGTAGCTGCCCCTGAGGGAGGAAGTAATAGGGTTAAAGGTGTGAGGTCGCCTATAGCAGGAGACTTACTGGCCTGGGCCTCCTGTTCCCTGCCTTATAGGTGTTTGTGGATCTCTTGTTATAGCAGGAGACCTTCTGGCAAACCTTCACTTGTGTGGGGGTAATCAGGGAGTGCAGTGGCAGGTAAAACCTGGCTGGAAGTGATGTCACGGACACTCTAGGACAGTGGTGGCAAACCTATGGCACAGGTGCCAGAGGTGGCACTCAGCGCCCTCTCTGTGGGCACGCATGCCATCGCCCCAGCCAGGCCCAGACCATCATTAAAGTGTCGAATTCTCTGCCAAATAATTTTAAGTAAATGAAAGCATTTGGGATTGCTTTCCTTACTATGTTTGGATCATCTTAAGTTAACGTATGAGTTGTTTTTTCTAAAGTAAAACCTCAGTATTCAGGTTAAATTGCCGTGTTGCGATAAATAAGTGGGTTTTGGGTCGCAGTTTGGGCACTCGGTCTCTAAAAGGTTCGCCATCACTGCTCTAGGATTTCCAAAAACACTACGATTTTACCATACTGTTTTTAAAAATGCTGAGGTGTCCAGGGGGGTTACTGACTGTGGCCTGGCAGCCCTCCTGCTGCACTTGATGGGCCAGCAGGGGAAGAGGGGGGAAGGCTCTTTTGTTTATGCTTCTTTCAAGATGTTACTCTATAGTATACAATACATATTGTGCCTTACAGTCTGTTAACAAAAGAAAAAAAACAAAAGAAGAAGTTGTTTTATGTTCTTATTATGGTTGTATAACATCCTTAACTTCAATAAAAATTTTGAATTAAAAAAAAAAGCACTGTGCCAGTGCACGCCATGACTTCTGGTGCAAAACTGGAAGTGATGACACTACATCATGCCAGTGGTCTTGAGATTCAGCCAAAGCTTTATAGAGCAACATGATGACAGGACTTCCAGTTTTGCACCAGAAGTGATGGTGCATGTTGATCTGATGCTGATGAAATTGCCCCTCAACCCCCCACCCCCCCCAATACTACAGCTGGCAACTTTAAGCAAGATCTCTGAGGAGTATCTTAACAAATGGGAAGACTCATACAGGTGGAGATTGTCCTTCTTCAGATACTCTGGTCTCAAACCATTTATCAACAGTGTTGTCAGACTTTGGTTTGAATTCTGTGTTCTTTTGGTTGAGAGCAACAACAAGGTATATGTTTGCCCAAATTTAAATTCAGGCCTACTTCATGCTGAATCTTGTTATAAGCATTAGCAAGTTCGTTTTTATGCCACAGCAAGCACAGCAGCATTTAGAAATGGTAATGGGAAGCTCTTCAGTGCAATGAACATGAAGTGTTTTATTGTCTCCTCAAGTTAGGGGTCCTTTGATAATCTCATAGACAACTGTCCCTGACTCTAAATATGCAGCATTCTCAAGGAGCTTTAGCTCAGTTTCTACAAGATGAACAAAGGAAGAATCGACACTGTGTTAGTGGCAGCACTAGGCAGAAAACAAAACACGATGGGGCAAAAGATTTTAGACCAGGGGCCAACTCTGTCTCCTCTGCACCAGCATATTAGGGAATGGTGTGTTAAAGTGATGCCCAATTGGTTCACCCCCATAACAGCCACAGTGCTCAATGGCTCCCTTATTTTCTCCTTACATTTATGGTTTTCAAACTCCCTGCCTTTAAAGAATCTCTTTCAGATTGTCTCATTTCTAGTGGGACACACTTGCCTACTGCAAAGAGTTTGGAAGGATGTTCCAGGACACGCAGTCAATTCGTAAAGAACGTGGTTACAAGTCTATTGGGCTCTGTTGTTGCCCTGGGTAAACTAAGAGTATCAATAATCATTGCTCTCCTGTGGCTGTGCATTGTAAGAGCAAGTTGATTCCAACCACCATTATCACCATGTTTTTCATTAAGAGGCTACTGATAAGCTTCTGAAGAACTCCAGAGTGGAAAAATGGCTGCCACTGGTAAGGACATATCCTTGGTGCTTTTGTTCTGCTCTGGCATTCTTTTTCACTTGCTCTTCCCTTTTCAGTTGCACGAGAAATTTGATCGCCTGAAGAAACTTCACCAGGATGAAAAGAAGAAACTGGAGGACAAGAAGAAATCACTGGATGATGAAGTCAATGCATTCAAGCAGAGGAAGACGGCAGCTGAATTGCTCCAGTCTCAGGCCCAGCAAGCGGGAGGATCGCAAACTCTGAAACGAGAAAAGGAGAGGAAAAAGTAAGTTGGCTTCCTCATGTGGCATTTCATGCTGTTGCTTTCCCTCACCACTGCCCTTCCTTTACCTGCTGGAACAGAGCAGGCTTATCTTAGCTGCTTCAGTTCAGGCAGTGGCTCCAAAGAGTCAAGCGAGAGACTGCCATGTTCTCCCTGAAAGAGTTACTGTGTGTTTAACAGAAGTCAGTTGACTCTCTGCTCTGATAAGGAAGTCTCTGATCCCATTGGCTGAAACAGTGGTGAAATGTGAAATAATGGATGAATGCAAATTCCTTGACAAACCCTGACCTGTTGTGGAAAGGCTTGCCCTAAAACATGACTTTGATCTAACGGTAAACCTAGCACAGCCAACGTATGGAAATTGCCTGACTGAAAGTTAGTTCACATGTTATGACAGAGAGGTTACTTTAAATTGTTCCCTGTGGCAGCGATCACAGTCAGGACATCTATATCCGCTCACCGCACAGATGTAGCCATTATTTCCTTGCCACCAAAGGTATCCAAAAAGAAAGGCCTGCCATTTAAAGCCCAGTCCCCTGCCTCAGACATTAGCTGCACTTCCAGTATTAAATTGTACTGGTTGCTGCTCTAATTACCAATGCCAGGCATTTGGGGGGGGGGGGTCACCATAGAGATGAGTAGGTAGAGAGGTGCCTTCTCTGCCAGTGGAGTCTTTCAATTTAGTACTGGAAAATTAGGCCATATGTCACTCTAGACTTGAGGACATTCCTGTGTGTTGATTAGCCCCATTAAGGTTGGTTTGTTTTTTTGTTCCTTTTTAAACAAAGTACTAATTCATAGTTTGATTTTGTTTTTGGCAAACTAAGTTTTGTTTTCATCTTCCTGAGTTGTTATTTGTATGCTGTTTTTACAGTTAACCCTGCTGTTTGCTGCATGGTGCATGAGGGTACACTGTGCTGGTAAGCTTGACTAAATGCAATAGCCATTGCAGTGGGATCAAAAGGCACTGTGTGCGAAAATAAACTGCCACACTGGACCTGCAGTCTGGCCTCTGCAGTATCATCCGGCACCAACCATAGCCAACAAACCCAGTTACCCCCACCATGCCCTTATTATTCACCTCAACTCCCTTCACCCAGGCCTGACCAAATGCCTGATTTAAACAGAATGCTGGAGGGCAAGAAGAAATTGCCCGTGGGATGTTGCACACATCTAGCATCTTGTTTACAGTGGGGACCCAGCCATCACACATGCAGTGTTAGCGTGCCACAGGCCTGTAGCTCAGGCAAGCATTGTGCTGGCATACTAACACTGTGTATGTGGTGGCTCGGTGGGTGCTAGCTATGTGTTGTATAAGGTAAGTTTGTTTCACCCAGCAGTTGTTGTTGTTCAGTCGCACAGTCGAGTCCGACTCTTCGCGACCCCATGGACCAGCTCCCGCCAGGCCCTCCTGTCTTCCGCCGTCCTCTGAAGTTGGCTCAATTTCATGTTCGTTGCATCGATGACACTGTCTAACCATCTCATCCTTTGCCGTCCCCGTCTTCTTTGACCTTCAATCTTTCCCAGCATCAGGGTCTTCTCCAGTGAGTGCTCCCTTCTCATTTGGTGGCCAACGTATTTGAGCTTCAGTTTCATTATCTGGCCTTCCAGGGAACAGTCAGGGTTGATTTCTTTTAGGATTGACACCCAGCAGAGTCATCTTTAAATTGAACCCACAATTAAGCCTGCCATTTGCAAGCAATCCTCTGCACCCACCCTCGATAATTTGAGGAGCGGGAGTAAAAATGGGCGGAAGATGGCATTGATGGTGACGCACTAGGAATTTCCATTAGTCTTTTAGGTCTTTACCACAGCAATTAGGGGAAATTCCTACAGCATCACCTGGAAGTAATGTCACCTCTGAAACTTCACCCTTCCCAGTCACTGCCCTAAAAATCTCCCAGCATTTACTAGTGCAGGCCTGGGAAGTCTGCTCACAGCACAGTGGAGTCAGGCACTAAAGATCTAAGGGGCTAGAATGTATTGTACCAGTTCAGACTGCAGATACGAGATCCCATTTTTGAATGCTCCTTTATGCAGTTGATTATCTACATTCCTTACAAGTAGAATATTAATACAACAGGGGACAGGCAAGGCTAGAATCTTCCTCTATGAAATTCTAGGGTTTTGTTGTTGTTTTTACTTTTAGGAAGTTTTTGTCATGGGTGAGTATCAAAAAATGTAACCTTCTGTCTTCAGCCTGAACTAGTGCAGTCCATTGTACCTCTTTATTCTGCTGCCATAATACATACCAGGTCCTGCATTAGCTGAGATGCAGACAGAGGACTGTTTAACCCCTTCCTCCCTAGTGTGACGAGCTACAAAGGCTCTTATGCACCCCAGTGGCTCATCTTATACAAAAGAGTAAGCATAAAAGGAGAATTCTGACATACAAGTCATCTCCTCTTGTTCACACTGATGATCTAGATTTTCCAGGAAACATTTTTAATCCGAAAATTTCCCAGGGTCTAAATACAACATAATCTGATTGAGTGTGTTTAGTTTGACTTACTATTTAGTAACAGTTTTATTTTAAGAGTATGCCGTCTTAATTTTATGTAGCATTAGCAACAAATATTTGAACTGAAATATTTGATAAGGAAAAAAATAAACGAATTGTGGAGTAAAATTATATAAAAACCAACTTAAAGCTTCATTATTTTTGTTATGGAAATTGTTTTTAATTAAATAATATTTATTTTAAAAAGTAAATATAATACAGCATGTGCTTCCCTTACATGGTTTAAATTTAAGAACAAAAAAGGGGGACACTGAAAACTGTTGAGGTGCTAATTTTAGCACAGCTGCCGGATATGCTGTGGATTTGGTTGTCCACTCATATGTTTCAACAGTATTTTAAACTCTTCCCTGGAGGTCACTAGAGGACTCCATTTTACTGTCACTTTCTGTAGCATCATTTGCATTACTTGTTAATACCGTATTAGACTAGTGATTACAGTTTCCCTTCCTCAGAGTCAGAGGAGAAACATAAATAAAAAGTTTAGTTTTGACTGTGCAGGACAAATCAAAACCAGTGAGGTGAATTTTAATATTTGGATTATTATATTTATCCTCTCCCTCTGTTTACAACTCAGGACAACATATGTGTACTTTTCTCACACAATTGTTAGGGATAGTCACCTGAAAAACATTCATTGCACCTTTGAAACGGCCAGGCTTGCTTAATGTTGTATTAGCAGTTAGTCATTCATGGTTATTAATTTTAAAAAACAATGAATCTTTATGAATGAAAAATGGTCCACGGGAAAAATTTCACTCCACATCTGTGGTTCATGACAAGGATGAGGGGATTAAAAAACCACTTGCTTGTCCGACAGTGTTGCCTTGCTAGCCCTGTGCTTTCTCAGTTTCAAGATATGGGCTGCTTCTGTACTCCGTGGAGTTTTGGTTTTGCTTTGATTGTTCCTGCAAAGGCAGGGACATGTCCATTGGCAATGGAGCCTTAATGTGGGAGTCTCCTGCCCACTTTCTTCCCACAGCTGCCATTTTCCCCTGCAAAAGGATGGTTTTGGGGGCCTTTTTAAAAAAAAAAATGGTGACTGTTATAGTTCTATAGCAGTTACAATTTTTTAAAAAGGCCTTGGTGGGGGAACTGCCGGTCACTTACAGCTCCAACAGCAGGAAATGATTACAATGCAGATAGGACCTTTACAGGGAAAGGTTAGAGCACGATACATGGATACGCAAAAAAAAAAAAAAAAAAAAAAAAGCACTTTAATTTGGGTGCCAGATAGGAGAAGAACCTCTGTGTGGAAACAAGGCAGGATCAGCATCCTATAATAACTTAGCCTGCCCCTGTCCCCTCCGCAGTCAAGAAAGGTCTTTCCCGGCATATTTCAGGAAGGCCGCAACTTGTCTGAATCAAAGCTAGCCTTGTGCCAGCAGTTTTTCTCTGTATGGGCCAATTGAAATGGGGATTCTTCTGAGTTCAGTGTGCTGTGATGGAACAATAGGATGCAGAACAACATAGGAGGAGGCCTGTGCGGAGAGAAAAACAATGGCTTGCTCTTCAAGGCTTGGAACTTGAAAAATAAACTCAAACAATCACAGTGTTTATCTGATGCCTGAGAACATATCCAGGGGCTGGAAAGTAGCTGGAATAAACATTGAGGGGTTTTGTTAGCTTTGGATGGCTTTTGGCAGGCCTCCACATGCAACTCGGTGGCACGCTGGTCTTCAGTGCAAACAGGCCTTCTTTTTGTTCCTAATACAATTTGCAAGCATTGCCTTTCTAAAGGGGGTATCTGTTTTTGCCCTGGCCAAAGCAAGTAACCAATCTCTTTTTCAACCATTCACAAACACTCTCAGTATGGATTTGGTCTGAGAAGTGTTGTGTGGCTTGCCCATGTTTACTGGGACATTCTCAGTCTGCTCTGCACCAAAGAGAACCACCATCATACAGTCTGCTGAAATTTCAATCACACTGTGTCTTCTCGCGTGTTCAAGTAAAATTAAACCAAATTAACATTTTTCTCCCAATTACAAATTAGACACCAGGGGTGGGCAACATACAGGCTATCTGTTGAGGCCAAGAGGTGTTTTATTTGTTTTGTTTTGTTCAGTATTTCCTAGCATTTCAGGAATCTGAAATTCTTTCTAGCCTCTTTGACAATGTGATTGCAATACTTGTGAGCTTAACGGCCAAGAGCCCCCAAAAAGTAGGAAAATATTGGTCCAAAATCATTCATTTTCACAAATTTACCATTATGGACATGTGAAGATCTGATTTCAGGTTACCTATGTTCAGAATTTACATGTTCAGAAAAGGAATGTTAGAATTAAAGCAACATGCCCACGGCATTGATCACATTATATGCTGATTGCATGTAGCATCCATAACAGTTGCCTTTGTATCCTGCATTGTTCCCACTGTGGTCCCAAATATGTTGCCCACCCCTGTTTAAAGCTTCATTTATCTTATTAACATACTATTAATCCAGAGAGACATTAATCCTTTTTCTTTTCGTTTTCCCAGTTCAGGTTTCCTGTAGATCCTTTCCTTTTGCACCAGAAACGACCACCCCCACATTTTGAGTTGTCCTGCAGTCCTGTCCTCTACATGTTTGCCCATCTCCTTCCAATGCACCCTCTTGCTCTGTTTGCCAGTTTCCTAAACACAAAACCTCCCTCTTGACTGTTTTGGTGAAGAACTCGGCCGTAATTTCTATGGAGCCCAATGAGAGAGGCTCCAAGTGCCTGTTGCTTACCAGAAGCTTGCAGGACTAATGTCCTAAGACACTGTATACCAACAGCACATGAATGCATTGATGTGTGTGTGTGCACGCACGCATGGCAAAACTGCATGTTTGCTTACCGGTTGTACCTCATGCTGTGACACCTGAGCCCTGTTGTGGATTCTCTTGTTAAGGCAAACGAGTTATGCATACAGCTTCTTTTTGTTTGTTTTTAAAGAAGTTGAATAGGGTTCATCTTCAGTATTGTTTTATTCATATTTAAGTTACTTTTTACTGCTGCAGAACTTGCCACAGTGGCAGGCATTATAGCGGCTGGAAGCAAACCTCTTAGGGATTTTCAGTACTTCTCTCTTTACAACAGGAGAGGGTGGGGAACCTTCCAGCTGAGGATTCAAAGCATATTGATTTCTTTTTTTAAATTTTGTTCCAATTGCTGCAAAATGTAGCTAAAATGCTCCTTCATCCATTTGGGTGCTTGCTGTGATTCAGTTAACTCGTGCAGGCATAGGACATCATAACACATATATATAGGACTCCCCAGCCTACCAGATCTCCCTGGTGTACCTTGGTGGTAGGGACAGCTATATATGTGCAAAGGGATGTGGGCAGAAAGCTCCACCATCATGTGAAAGGGGAAGTTTGTGCAGGGGTTCTGTGCGGATGCTGGAATTCAATTGAGGTGCTAGATTTGGGGCACTGGGACAGTTTTTGGCTTCATATCCCTGCTTATATGCCAGAAGAACTGGGAATCATGAAAATAATTGACAGCCTGGTTCCATGACTAGAAATTCAGTCTAAATGCATTTTACATCCAGTTTCAGTAGACACATGTCCACAGCCTAAGTTTATGACCTGGTTTTTACTGAGATGGTAAACTTGTATTTGGGCTGTACCACTGTAGATTTCATCGGGGGGCTCCCACAAGCAAATAAATAAATAAATCCCCTACCTATAGAAAACTCCCATTTTAAAGAGAAGGTAGAACTAGTTTTCTTTGCAGACGGAATTTTCCATTTCCATTTCATTTATTAGCTTCATTGACCCGAGGTCTTAAGCCAAACATACAAACACAGGGGGAATTTTTAGTAGGAAGGGTCATTCCATTATGTTGGCTCCCACCTGCAGTCTAAAGCGATACAGCCTAGAATATCATCTCAATAAGAACTGGATTTACTCTTAAGCACGTTTACTATGAAATAAGTCCCATTGAATTCACTTGCTTTGTAGCAAGCATAGTTAGGATGGCAGCTTTAATTGAACAAAGTTCCAAATGAATGTGCCACTCTAAATCTCTTTAGCAGCAGTTAAACTTCTTCATTACAGTGGAACTTTCTTCCAAGGTAGTATTGCAGGATCATCCTCTTAAATCTGATTAAATTTAAGTATTTCTTGGGAGTATTAGTGAAGAGCCAGTTGCCTCTTACAAATATGGGTTTGGATCCTACTAGCTTTTCTGCTGGTGAAAGAAAGGGAAGGGGCCTTTTGACTAATGCAAAGGCTGTGCCAGGAAATGTAGGGCCAAAATGGACAAATGTCACAAGGATGGGAGCTGAAGTAGAGGGAGGTTGGGTGACATTGAGTGGAATAGTTGATAGGATCCAGCCCATTATCTCATATTACTGGGATCTTTTTAATATAAGTATAGCTGATTAGGAAAATGGTAAGTATTTTTTCTTCACAAAGGTGGAAAGAAACCCCATGGAGCGTTTAAAAATATTTTTTATTTCAAATTAAAACATTTTTTGTTTTACACTGGAAAGCTTAAGTTGGAGATCTTGATTTTTGGAAAAGGGAATCTGCAGTGCTTTATTTCACTTTGATTTGGGGGAAAATTGTATTTTTATGTTGTTTTTTTAAATGAGAGGGGGTTTTGGGACCTTTGTTTTTGTAGTTTATGGATGATGATAAAATATCAGACTTGGACTACAAGACGTTTAAGGACGTACAGTAAAGGGTTAACAAGATGAAAGATATAGCAAAATTAACTCAGGTTAGAACCAACTGTACACCAAGGTCAGATTTAGACTGCCAATTAGTTTCCGTCCCCTGAGAATCCTGGAAACCATAGTTATATATGTGGTGGAAATGAGAATCTCTGAAAGAGTTCTCAAGTACCCTCACCAAGCTATGATTCCCAGTATTCTTTGAAGGAAGTAATAACAGTGAAAGTGATCCAAGAGGTATACTCTGTGTCAAAAAAGAACAAACATATTCCCTAGCCAAAATCCCCTTGGAAGCCATTTTAATTATTCTGTTAAATGTCATAGTTCACCAAGCTAAATGTATGATTCTGTTTTTGTCACCGTTATCATGGAATCTAGTATGCTTGTAGTATATGGAAATTTAAGACTAACAATGTATAAAGCCATCTAAAAAGCAATCATTGAATATTTTCAGTTAATGCATTAATTTTTATTTGGGGAGATGTATTTGGTGAGGATAAAAAGTAGCCATCTTCTGAACAGTGGAAGTCAGGAATGGCCATTTGGTGGCCCACAGGCTAAATCAAAACCCCCCCCCCCCCCAAGTAATTCTGTTTGACCATGTGGACCTATTTTCTCATTAAAATGTAGTAAAAAAATTTGTCCACAATTTCACTAGTATGGAAAATTCTTTCAAAAACATTCAGGGTCTTTCCTATGTCAATATTTCCTTTCTCTTTTAGATTTTGTAAATAATTCTCCTTCTATGTGCTCCAGAACTGTGAGGCCTCCAGTTTTATTGTGGAGCCTGACCCTGGTCAGTTTTGCTTTTTGAGTATTTCAGTAAAATATTGGTGTGGACTCTGTCTGCTGTCCTGAAGAATGCAGAAATTGGCTATCCCTGAGATAAACTGCAAATACAACCATGATCTGCTTAGTCACCAGATGTATTCCCCACCCCCTGAATACTAAATGGAAATTTTAAAGATGAAGTTATTGCACTGTAATTATTCTGAACTAGCAAGATCGGGGAGCCATGGCTCAGTGATAGAGCATCTGCTTTGCATGCAGAAGGTCCCAGGTTTCATCTCCAGCCTCTCCAGTTAAAGGGATCAGGTCACAGATGATGTGAAATACCTCTACCCGAGATCCTGGAGAGTTGCCAACAGTCAGGGTAAGCAATATTGACCTTGATAGACCAATGGTCTGATTCCGTAGAAGGCAGCTTCATGAGTTCATGTGTTCCCTTTACGCTTAAATGTATTCTGTACATTGCCCTGCCATAGTCTATATTTTCTATGGGAAAACTTTTTAAAATAAACTTCTTTTGGACAATAATTCTGGTTAATGCTTTGTTTTTAATCTTTTACAGTAACCCATGGCTGTGTACTGAGTAGTGTCCCTTGAGTACACGGGGCTGGAATGGACCTTCATTTAATTAATATGCTTCAGTTCAGCCATGGCCTTCTCATGATGCTACCACCAATGATAATCTAGATCCATTTTCTACATAATCAGTATCTGATTTTGATTTCGCTGTATAATTATGTGTGCTTGTATACTATGTAAAACAGCATCATCGAAGGTTTTTTTTTTTTTTTAAAGAGGCAGTAAAATTCTCGGATATCATCCTAGGAGGAGTGCTCATACATGCAGCAGTGGCAAATTCCTTACATCAATAGTCCTCTTTTTATCTTGTACCTACAACCATATATAGAGAGGGAAGAACAACACACTACAGTAAATACAGAGCTCTTCTCCCTCTTCTTCTGTAATGTGCAATAAAACCCTGATACCAGCCAACAGTATAGGGAAGAAAATGCACAGCAAGATGGTGTAAGGAAAATGGTGTAAGTTTTGCTGCCCACGTTAGAATGACGAAAATTCACACAGCTGCCATTATCAGTGGAAACTCTGTGGTTCAAAACAGGTAATTCTGCCTAAAGTAATGAGTGAACCAGAAATACATGTTCATAAAGCCTGCATGGAGCTGCAAATGTCCCTGTGATTCTGGTTGCTTCTGGAAGGGCAAACCAGTATCATGTAATTGTTCAAAACATTTAGACTATTACATAGAGACAATTCACCTCTCCACTGCATGCATACATATATTAGCCCTTTAATGACCATCTGGAGTCAGGATTTCCCACATTTAAGCCCTAAAGTTCCACACACTAGCACAAATATTTGTATATAGACCTGCTGGCATTTTTGCATTTCCTGACTGACATTGCCAGAAAGATTTTTATTTCTTTTTGGATACTCCACAGCTGCCTGAGAGTGTCCTGTGATATTCTCTTTAAAGTGAAGGAATCCACTGTTGAGAAAACTCATTGCATTGTGGGAACAGTAGTTTGACGAGAGAAGGAGCAACATCCATCAGTCTTTCAGAAGCAGGAGACACCTTCTGTTGAAGGGCCTGCAATCCAACAAGTCCAGAGACCCCATCACCTTGGGATTGTCCAGGCTTAACTCATTTGAATGGCGGTGGTTTAGCTCATCCCTAAAATTTGCCATGGAATCTAGATAATTGTTGCCTTTGTATCGAGTCCCTTAAAATTTACTTGTGATACCATTGACCTTGTTACAGCCCACACCTCAGCTGGACTTGTGCTCTTTATCGGACTCCTTCCAGGATTCTGCTTAATCCTAGCCTAGCCAGTAGCCTCTGAACCCATGTATTTTAATGACTGCTTGAGATTAGGCAATTTGTCCAGATCCTATGCCCTCACTGGGTGTGGGAGCTTGAAACGGAGTCCTTTATGTATTCACCATGGGCCAGCCCTGAAATGGTGTGGTAGGTGAATAATGCTCTATACATAGTATGAGTATAGTATTTTCGGTGTTGGAAGTGCTTCATATGTATTGTCACATCTCCCAGGGAATGTGTGACGTGGGCCTGAGACATCAGTTCTTGGAGAAAGGGGTAAAAGTAAAAGAAATCATCTTCAAGGCAGTTCAGATTCTCCCTCCTTTCCTTTAAAAAAACCCCAAAACTTCTTCCTCTTGCAAACAGAAAATCAATTTTCAAAGTATTTTTTTAAATGTTATTCTTTCTGGCAAACCCCCTCACCCCCCGAAAACTGTTGTGACTCAAACATGCACATTTAAAAGACAACACCACTACCTTAGTCCAGTTCTGGTTGTGGCAAGCATAGCTAAATGTTTCTTGTATTTTTTGACTACATTATTTATATACTAACGATTGTTGTTTGTTTTATATATTTCATTTTTTTCTTGAAATGTTTGCTGGTCATATCACCTGGAAAAATAGGTACAGTGCAAGCTCATTTCCGTTAGCTGACCTGGGTGCTGTCTTCAACAGTGTAGCGGTTAGTGCATCATGGAAGACCTAGTCTGCATCTACACAAGAGTGTGAAAATGTGCGATGGCAACAACAGCAAGTGGCATGGGATTAGGGAGGAATGCAATTCACATGCCCTGTCCCAGCAGCTCTTGTTGTTATCGACATTGGCCACTACCTGCCCCCCTCCTTTCCTCTTGTTGCATGTACGCAGAAATGTAGATGCACGAGCTGTTGTGCCAGGGGCCCCCATGGCCCAGAATCCACCCCCATTCCCCTCACTTTCTTTTCTGAGCTACGCTGTAGCTGCAGCACAGCTTAGCAGAGAAACGGAAGGAAAGACCTTTAAGGGGGGGGGACAGGAAGAATGGTGCGTGGTAGTGAATTCCCCCTTGCCAATTTGAAAGCAGAGCACGTGTACATTCTCACAATTTGGGGGCTTCCTGCATTCCATGTGCAGAAAACATCCCATGTGGAAGTAGCCCTAGGTTCAAATCCCTGCTCAGCCATGAAGCTTGCTAGGTGACTTTGGGTCAGTCTCCCCCTCAGTCTAACCTACCTCACAGGGTTGTTGTGAGGGTACAACAGTGGAGAAAGAACTATGGCTTAGATCCATAGCTTTCTGCATTCAGAGCGTGACTTTCTCACCCCTCCTCCCACTGCAGCCCCAAATTCTGAGGGGCGGGGTCTGCTGTCCCAAGGAGAAGCATTTGGGGAGTTATTTTGATTTGCAGTAAGGGGTGAGAAAGTCAAGGTCTGTGGTGAAAATCCCTTCCATCTGCAGAAACATTCCAGTGGGCCCAAGCCTAATGTATGCTGCCATGAACTCCTTGGGGGAAGGGTAGGTTAAAATGAATGGATGGATAGGTTATAAGTCATTTCAATACAGACTTGCCAAAGATCTCTTAGAATATAATTTAACATTTTTTACTAATTAACTAATAGGGGTCAGAAAAGTCTCCCTAATCCAATTGGGAATTCACAGTACGTTGAAAGCATGCTACATTCCCTCAAATTTTCAATTAGATTTAAATACAGCCTGTATGTAACCATATCAAGAGACGCAAAACGAAGTTTAAAGGTAATTCTTACTGGTCATTGGGATGGATGGTCAAAATCTAGAGTGCTCTGACTGATTGATCCTCTGATTTTCTTAACACCCCCCCCACACACACACACACACACTCCACATTAGCTTGAAGTGGCAAAACAAGGCAGCCATCTCTGACAGAGTTGCTGTTAATGGCAGCAGAGTAGAAGATCAGCGGCTCTAACCCCTGACTGTAGAAGTTGCTCTAGAACCAAAGTCTTTGGAATGGGAGGTGGTCAGTGGCCATAGACAATTGCAATCAAAACTATGGTGGTGCCGCAGTGTGTGTGTGGCCAAAAATTTCCAGTCCCAAACAGCTTGTTTTTTTAAAAATGCCATCCCTACTCTTTGACTCTGTTCTGAGACTTCAGTATTAAGTAGTATAAGCATTCTTCCTCTCTCACATGCACAAGGTGAATTCACAGAACTAATTT